AATCACTTTCATAAATGAAGCACCTGTTATTAAGACCCTGTTGGAATGAAAAGCAGGATTGAGAACCACTGGTATGGTGGGTTTACCACATAGAAAATAATGCAACAATCCAGCTAGATTCTTAAACAATATGTGGTATTAAAATCTGGCATAATGGAAGGGTATTGAGAGGATGTAAAGAATAAATATATACTGTATATATCATTCTTCTGGAGGCCCTGACATGCCCTGTGTTTATCTTCAAGAATTCTCCCATAAACCGATAGATAATTGCTTTAGAAAGAAAACTGTAATGACAATCTGTCTATATTCACTCATGTAAGGGTTTGCTGTGTTGTTTTTTTGAGTCTCAACCCAGCAATGTCCCAGAGATGTGCCTTTGCTGGAATGAGGAAATCACTGAGGGAAGCAGGAGTACCTTCTCTCCTGTTGTACCATACAGTTCCCACAAGAAACAAAGAAGTTCATGTGATCTGAACGGCTTGTACAGTCAAATTGATCAGAGAGTCATTTTGTCAAGGATACTAAGGTTGCTTGCAGCATCCTGTTCTTGTAACCCTGCACATAGACAAAATCAGCCTAACAGGTCACTATAACACGTTTTTTTGCACCACATTTCTTAACACCCAGCTTTTAGTCATATAGGATGGTATCAATACAGGTAATCTGCACTGGGAACTGAACTCTCACTTAACTATTTTTCATAATATTTCCCCTGATGTGAAACACTTTTTCATTTGGAAGAATGATATGCTTTTATTAATATTTTTTCCTCACCAAATGAGATGTTAATATAACCTCTGGGGTGGGCTTCATGGTTTTAAGTACCAGTCACGTCTCTAGCCAACTACGAAGGAGATTAACCACACACTACTGCACAAAGTGAGTGCTGCAAAGGAAGAGGTTGAGAATATGTGAAAAAGTAATATATCAGTTTACAAAAATGGTTTTAAGTTTATGCCTCTAGTACATTAATCTTTTGGCCAAATTCCTTAAGGATCATGTCGAGTTAGTTATGGCTGCTGATTTTCATGCTTTCATAAACTATTATACCTAATATATGGTAGAATTATTATTATTTTAATGACAGTTCTCTCAGCCGATTACTACCTCGGAAACTAGCAATTAATATTTTGCCGATATTCCTGCCATTAGATTGGCACAAAGGGCATTCCTATCAGAAGACAGGCAGATGAAGGCCATATTTACTCTAAATCATAGAACTTAGTTTCATCAGGAAAAGTGTACAAAGCCTCTTCACTTGACAACTGTTTTGGTTTTCTGAGGCAAGCGTAATGAGCTAAAGTATGAGGATCAAAACATGATGGAACCTGCTGGTGTTAACAGCATCCTTTGTGAATTTTATCTGAGTTTTTAGCACCAATTAGATCTCATCCTGGTTGAAATGTTATCCTTTTTTTCAAAGGAATGTATGCTTTCAGTTTGTTCTGATGCTGTGCTGCATACTAAGGTGCAATCACTTGGGTTAAAGGCTTATATGACCAACCTCAAAATAAGGAAGGCTTTCTTAATGGGGAACCTTGCACCTGATAGTGCTTGTCAAGTCCTCCATATTGTAGTTACAAATTTTGTCTCTCTGCCTTTGTTTCGCTAAAAGGTGAGAAAACATTTCACTATGTAGGGATGAAGGATGTCAAAGCACAGATTAGTGAAGTTATGAAATATTTTAAGATTTTACCAAGTTTTAATATTATTGAGTTTTTATAACTGAGAACATCCTTCTATGTTACCACAATCATCATGCTTAGGAGAGAGAGGCACATGAATAACCCAGATGTTATGTAATCAGAAGCAATGCTTTAATTTCCATTGAGTGAACACACATAGTGAACGACCATTCATGATATTGCAGCGATCCTCTCCTCTTTGCCCTTGCTGTGCATGCTAGTGAGGAAGGAGAGACAAGGAAGCAGAACTGCAGGCTCAGCAGGGTTTATGGTCTTTTGATGGTTAACAAATGTGTTTGCTAATCAGGGAGCAGGGAAACAGAGCAAGAGAGATAATGTAGCAACAGTTACAGACATACAAAAAGGAACTTCCCCTATCTATAAAGGTAGAGAGAAATAACAATGAATGGGAAAAAAAAGTGTCAAAACCCTATAATAAGAATATTAAATCACCAAATACAGCAAACACACTCGAAACATATACAGTAATTCAATAAATGAGAGAATTTTACTGTATCACTGGATTTATAAATGACTTCAGCACGCAAAGAGCTTAACCAGTTTTAAAATGAACACTTTAACACACACAGATCAAATCTTAGAACTGTACAATTGGGAAGATCTATAGTTATTACCTGATTTGGGATCAGATTTAAATAAATTTGGTTAAAATTTTTAAAGTTGGTCATTGGTATGACCAGGCAATAACTCATTAGGAATAAGTAATAGGTTTATTCCATGCTAAAAAGAGAAGAAAGAAAACACAACATTTCTGTTGTGGAGCCTTCTTCGGGTGTAAGCTTCTTACCCACCCGAACTTATTAGTGATGCTCACTTCCCCTATTTGTATTGACCTGTTTAAGGAGCTATTGGCTCAGTCCTCGTTACATGTCACCCTCTCCAAAAAGCTTTTGAGTCTTTTAAATATGTAGATGATGACCTCATCTTTTTTCCAGTTCTGTTCAAGGCCATGCCTTTGTAATATGAAATGGATGTGTTTTCTTGTTGTTTTTTTTTTAATTATAATCTCTTTCTGCCCCTCTAGGGTACTGGAATGCAACATACTGAAAGTCTAAAGTCATTTGGAAAGGCAGTTAAGACTTCCCTGCATTGCATACAGTATACAGTAAGGTTCACAGTGTTAGCTCCAACAAAGTTAAATTTTATTTGTTTTGTGAGCACTGTGTGGTTTAATTTTTACACCCCTGAATCACGGCATCCACTTGAAGCAGGCATTCTCTCTGCATATTGACAATTGTTGTGGGAAATTCTTCATCAGAGGAGCAGGTCACAGTCTGTGCAGATTCAGTTTTATTGAGCTCAATAATGACATCAACCTGCATTGGGTCTGCCCCGCAGAACAGATTATCCTGCAAGGGTTTCCCAGCTCTTATACAGTATACAGTCAGGAGAAAGTTTGTTTCACAATCTGAGTGCATGTCCTGTTTTTTTTTTATATGTAATTACTTCCTGTCCTACTGTCTTGCTTTAGGTTCTGTCCTTTGATATGCAGCAGACATAGGTCTGGTATAGAGAAATAAACCTATTACTTGTTCCATAGGTCTGGTATATCCTGTTTGTGGGTGTTGTTCTTGTCTTTTATTATGTAGCGTCAAACCACTGGGGCTGCTAAAGCAAGTCAGCTTTATAGCATCTTAGTGGAACTTTTGTTTGAGGCTAAATTAACAGACCTCATCAACAGCTCTCACAATGTGCTTAAGTGGTGATACTGTGATGCTGGATAAGTGTGATATATACATGTCCCACTTCAACAATATTTGATTTACACTAGTGTTACCCTTAGACACTGCAGTCTGCATTATGGAACTATAATTAAAAACTTAATTACAACTTGGAATACAGGACAAAATATCAGCAACTTTCAGAAGTCTTGGTATGCCCATTCTCCTGTTTTCTACAGTCCTACATTTCTTACAGTTGGTGATCTCATACAAATCTGTATCACTATTATTATACTGAAGATATGCACTCCAAAATCTGCAAATGTATGCATATTAACCACACCAGGACATTAGAACCACAAATGGTTCTTGAACAACATTGAGAGAAAACATGTCCAGGTTTACTGTATGACCTGTACAAAATCAACCAAATCCCATATGGCAGCAACATGCCACTGGCCTCTACAACTGTGTAACGTCTTATGAATTTTCACCAAATGTTATAGCTTTTAGAGTATAGTGACAAGGCCCCTCTTACAGCACAGTATGTCCCATCTTTTAGATGTGATACTAAACTTAAGTTTCTTTGGTATTAAAGAACCCAAGGTACTTTGGGATGGCATAACAATGCATAGCTTAATTTAACATTTATTGAGTTTGTTAAGTAAATGTTCAATTTGATCAGCTTTATGGTAGGGTTGCTCTTGCAAAATGGTTTCCATGTGTCACCAGTGTGGGTGCTGCTTGTCAGTACTGATTGATATGGGTTCTATCCCATATTTGAAGAGTTTTATGGGGTCCAAAAACTGATACAGCCAGTTGTGTGAGACTGTGAAGTAAGAATTTTGGACACGCTGTATCTTAGGGAAAAAAGCACACTATTTTACTACCAACCCATTAAACACAGACAAAAACGGCGTCTAGAGTACATTTGAAAAGATTTCTCCACTACGGCTAATAGCTAGCAAGATAACAAACTTTTCTCCAAATCATTTTCTGTTCCGTCAATGTTACGTTGGTCTGACACCATTTTCTGAAATTGTGATATTGTGACGATTGTTTGCGTGAGAGGATGGAGATATTCTGTGAGATTTTTATTGCGAAACAGAATGTTATGACAGGCACACGTGGGCATGTGTTTCTTTGAGAGCACTGTAGTGAGTAACTGTGAGTAATGTCTGTTGATGGGATGAACCATCAAGATGAACCGTTGATGGGTAACCATGCCTTTTGGGAGTAAGTGAAGGTGGAGTAATGTCTTATTCAGACGCTTCTGTTTCCGTTTGTTTGACCGTTTTCCCAGTTTAAATACGTATTAAAAAACTGAGTTAAATGTGTAATAACTAAAGCTGTACTGATATTAAATAAAATTCGTCTTTAAAAATAAAACGACTATTCTCTGAAGAAAGGCAGTTTTGATCAATTATGTCTAAACTTATATTAGTTTAATCATAAGATTTTAAGATTTAAGGCAATTTGGAAACAACAATTAACAAACATGTACTGTACATGTATGCAAGACAAGCTTCAATGTAGCATTACATGAGCAATGCTCTTAAGGTTACTTTTTCCACAAATAACATCCTTGATCACAAAACAATAACAGTTGTTAATAAATGTAGGCGCTTACCTGTATCCTGTAGGTTATTTAATTTATTTTTGCAAAGCAGTCACAGACGACCGCACTCCCCCGTTTCTTCAGATCACTATCTCGCAACACTGTAGCACCTCCCTTTTCCAGTGTATGACTCTTCCTCTACGTAAACGTTTTCTTAACATTTTTTTTTATTAAAAGTTCGTGTTAGTATGAAACTCTGAATGGGCAAATTGTGGAAAAAAAAACCCCATTAGATAGAAATGCGCACTCTTGCAAAATTGTATAAACTTCAGGTTAACAATACAACTAACGCATGCATACAATACCTGTTTGAAAAATCAACCAACACCCGGCGTAGAAGAACAGACGGTTGTAGTAACCAACACACGCCACGAAATTACTAATAACAAAGATGCTAAAGCTGTAAAAAAGTGAGGATTCATTCACTGTATTCCGTTGTTCGTACAGCAGTGACAAAAGCGATGAGTAAGTTGTGAGTTCTGAATGGTTGTCTTCATTTTGCTTGGATTTAGTTGTAGAACCAAAATTCGACAATTCATTGCAGTGGAAACACCAATGTGTTTCATTAAAAATAATGAAACTAGGAGGCTTTTTACTGGGAACATTATTTTTCATGTAAACGTACAACGAGCTAAAACACAATTTAAAATGAATTGTCGCGAGTTTCATTAATCTTTGTATAAATCAGGCGTCGCAAGGTGGTGTGATCGCTGGGGCTGTGGTTTGTATTAGGGAATATTGACTGCAATAAAGGGATTTCATTATTTAGTTTTAGTCACCTAAGATTTTGTCTGTTGTACATAAACCACAAACTTTTGCAGGAGGGATACATACTGTAACTGACATTAGGATTCGTTTTTCGAAGATTTTGTAGGATTTATGATTTGTCATATCAAAGTTAAACTATACAAGTTTATCCAATTCAATGGAGACCCAGGACCTATCCTTGAAAGCACTGAGTGCAAGATTGGATATACACTGGATGAGCACACCGCATACTATAAAGACGCACATGCTTACACCGGGGCCAGTTTTACAGAAGCCAGTCAGCCTACCAGTATATATTTGGATTGTGAGAGGAAACCAACTGCCTGGAGGAAATTTACACAAACACTGGGAATGTGTGTAAACTCCTTGTGTATAGTACCTTAAGAACTGAAAAAAGCAGTGCTAAAAGCTGTGCTGGTTTAATGATAACATCCTTATGAGATTATTAAGATGTCACGAATTATGGGAGTACCCCACAAAGATGAAATTGCAACATTAATAAAGGATAAGCATAAATAAAGTGAAACATTATTCGACAACAATATTTGGCCTTGTTTCTCGGAATTCTCACTGACACATGGAATTGCTGTCCTTTTCCCTCAAAACCTTGAGACAATGCACAAATATCTGCTGACATGGAAAAAGCATTCAGATTTCCTGCAGCACAAAAACAGGAAAGATTCTCAAAGCAAAAACTGGGCAACAACAGCAATAACAAGCACAGAAATGGAAAATGCTCCACTATGTCCCTTGACAAAACCATCAGGAAATGGAGATATAAGCCTCTTTAGACTTAGACATAATATTTTGGCATTATCCACTGATATAAAACAAATGACTGAATTAATCATAAGGAAGCTGGTGAAAAAAAGGGAAGGCAACATGTATCTGCTTCTATTAATCTAATATAGAAATTTGTCTTTAAATGGTGCCTTGTCTTCACTAACTCAAGCTGAATGCCAATTTTATTTCTTCATCTTTTTGTAATCACTGTTTTTAGGGTTTAGCCCTGACAATCCTTTATCATGGCATCCACTCTCCATGTGGATTACAGAATTCAATTTGAGCTGGTGCTTGCCTTAGACACTATAGATTGTGTTATACACTTAATTACAACGTACCATCTAGTAGAGAGATTCACAAAAGCCCAGTTGACATGCCATTCCCACTTCTCCACTTCTCTATTTTCCATCATCATACACTCTTTAATAAAAACAATCACAATTTTTAAATAAAATATATTTTTTTATTAAACTTTTCTCTTTTCCATCATCATACACTCTTTATTATTTCTTTGATAAAATACAACAAACAGAATTTATGTTGGAGAAATAAAGGAGAAATAAAGGCATTTACCTTCTTGCAGATATTTTAAGGAGGATGATCTCCACTCAATATGAAATTTTAATACAAGACACTCAGCTCTTTTTTGTTACTTACAGTACATCTGTAAACTGCAATGCCTGCCTAAGGTGTCTCCTGGGAATGAGACAACCTAATCACCCCATGCATACTGTATTTTACTGGGTTTCTGGAGCAAATCAAACTTGTAATTCTTTTTAATGTTTCTGTCATTCTCATGCCCATTATAATGCCCTTCACAAAGGCAGTTTCTTTGAAAAAGAAGTATAATGCTATAATATCTGCTGGTTTAATTTCGGAAGCAGGACAGTTTAGTTCAGAGGTTGGCAACCTTTCAGAAGTGTTGTGCCAAGAGTTACATTGCTTCAAACATCATTGATGCATTTTAATGTCAGTAACAGCCCTACTTACATATTGCAACCAGTAAAGGTTTATTCCATGCTGAAAAGATGAGAAAGGAAACACAAAATGTTTTGGCTGTGGAGCCTTCTTCAGGTGTGGC